CCTTCATCAGAAAAAGCTTTTTCTGATGAAGGGTCTAGGCCCGAAACGTCAGCCTCTCTGCTCCTATGATGCTGCTTGGCCTGCTGTGTTCATCCAGCCCTGCACCTTGTTGTCTCGGATTCTCCAGCATCTGCAGTTCCCACTATCTCTGATAGATAAGCTGAATTTCACTTTAATGGGTAAAGACTGCAGAAAGATACGGCACAGAAGGATTTAGGAGTCCTCATACATGACTCTCAAAAAGCTAGCATCTAGTATAGTGGGTAATAGGGAAAGCAATTTGAATTTTGGTCTTTATTTCAATGAGAATGGTGCATAAAAGTAGGGGAGTCTTGATAAACCTGATTAGAATGTCTTGAAGAGTTTTGGTCCCTTTATCTAAGAAAAGATATACTGGCATTCCGATAGATGATCTCACAATCTGAGATAGTGGCTTTTTCTATTTCTGGACAATTTAGTTTTATATTCTATTTTCACACTCCAAGTTTTTTGTTCATTTGTTCATGGCATCTAAATCTTTCCCAATCCTCAGGTTTATTGTTTGAATTGTCTTACCTTCTATTATCTACTCCTCCTGCTGTCTATTGTGTTCGAAGTAGAGGCACAACTGCATCTGCAGCACAGATCTTTGGTACGACAGAACGAATGCTGATCAGAACTGAGAGTTTGTTGTACCCAATGCATTCAAGCATTACATGATATCACATGGATTGAACTGATTTCACTGAAGGCTAGTATGTATGATGTGAGGAATTTCTGGAGGCAGCTCAGGAAGATCATCCTCTCACAGTTCTGGTCAAAGATGGGCACGAACTCTAGGGGTGTTGGAAGCGGAATATACTAACGATTTCAAAAGGAAACTAGATAGGCACTTGAATCATAGAACTGTTACACTGCAGAAGGAACCTGTTCAGTCCAATATGTCTGTGCCAGCTCTCCAAATATGCAATTCGCTTAATGACATTCTCCCACCTCCTCACTGTCAGTCCACATGTTCTTTCTTTTCAGATAACAGTCTAGCTCTCTTCTGAAAGCTTTCACTGAACCTGCTTCCACCACACTCTTACCGACAGTGAATTCCAGACCTTGATCGCTCGCTATATGCAAAACCTTTCTCGCATATCACTTTTTGTTCTTTTGCCAATTACCTTAAATTCAAGCCCTTTCATTCTTGATCCTTTCCTGAGCAGGAACAGCTTTTTCCCTATCTACCATGTCCAGACCCTTCATGATTCCAAACACCACTATCAAATGTCTTTTTACTTGTCTTTTTCCCAAGGCAAACAGTCTCTACTCCTATATTATTTTCATAACCAAAGTTCCTCATCCCTGGAATCATTCGCAAAACTTTTCTGCACTCTGTCTGACGTCATACTACAGAAATGCAGTACCCAAAGCTGGATGCAATACTCCAGTCAAGGTCAAACTAACAGCTTACTCAAGTTCAATATAACATCCTTACTCTATAAAACTGACCATATTGTAAGCTTTGTTAACAGATCTCTCAATTTCTCCTGCTACCTTCAATGCCTAATGCACATACACTCATTTCCTGCATCCTCTTTAAGAGTGTACCCTTAATTTTATAACGTCTCTCCACGTTCTTCTCACCAACTCACATTTGTCAGTATTAAATTTTGAATTTACTTACATAAACTTACAGGGATCCAAAGATCAAGCAGGAAATGCAACCAACTGCATTGCTCTACATAAATTCAGCAAGAACCCAATAAGCCAAATGCTGCCTCTGTGCTGTAATGACACTCTGGTTTGTGAACCTTTTGTCTTGCCCTTTGCAGACAAGTATTAGGCTCTACCATCATTGAAGATGGAAATGTTTATGAAGTCTCCTCCTCCCCTTATATGCTGAACGATCCAGGACCATTCCCACCTTGAAATGGCAGGACTGCAAAATTTTGACCTGCACTGTTGGTTCTGGGATCATTCAGATCTGTCTTGATAGCATGCTACTTTTTGTCCAGACACTGTACAAGCTAGTATAAGTTCGGAATTTTTCAACTGTCAGTGAGGAAATTGCAGGAAACCTGTCTAAGTGCAATTGAAACCCAGGTCACAAAGACAAAAGAAACATGCATTTAAACAGATACTGATCCAATTATATTGGTGCATTAACAATATCAAAAAGCTCAAGGTTATTCAATGCAGTTCCTGTAACCTATCAGTCACCATTGACGAACATCTATTTACCTGCTGCTTCTGGGATAATCGGTCCCCAACAGTTGAAGCTTGCACGGTTAACTGAAGACTGCAAGTGTTTATCTGCAAGCAAAGCAATGAAATTACAGTACTTCCAATAAATACAAGTGGTACGTAATAATGATGGGAGGTGTAACCAGAGTTTAATGATCATTGTAAATATTGTGAAAAGTTACACTGGTAAATTAAACAATATTTTGCCAAGGTTCAAATAGAATCCTTTTGGTGTTGTTGTGACATACTATGAGAAAACTCACATTGCCACGCTACTAAAATATTAAAAAAAATTAACTGAGCACTTTGCATCTTCTTTCTGCCTCCTCAAAACTGCTAACAAACACTGTGTCTTCACAGGACCTAGTGCCCCTCAATACTTTACCCAAGAATCAATTTTTCTTGTGTCAGTAATGGATACCATGTAACTATAGGATTCTTGGTGGGGTGTGGGGAAGAGATCAAAATGAAAGCCCAGTTGATTTTTATCCTCAACCAACATCTAAATTTGAGTCACTGTAAAATATTCAAGACATAATATAAAACCAAAAGGGCAACAGTTAAAATCATGGCTAACTAATATTGGAAAAAAAAAAGCCAATAAGACTTGCAAAAGCCCATCAAAAATGGTCACCTCCCCTGACACACACATGAATATAGTCCATAATAAGTTGATTACTGAGAAGTATCATGACAAATAATTTTAATTATTAGCAAAAATAATTTTATTGGTCTTCATCACCCTTCCAAGGAAAATTAGGAATGAAAAACAGTGCTCCAAAAGTCAACACCAAGATCCAAATGTAGCATTAGGTACAATCCAAGAATCAAACACTGTCATTTTGATAACAATGGTCAATTGTTTAAAACACATGCTTTCAATGATTTCACATAAACGGAAAAAACTTGCATGATTTTGTTCTCTTTTGGTCATTGTAATGTGGGGAATATGGCAACCAGTCTGCACACAACAAAGTCCAATGGATAGCACATAATAAAGACCAAATAATTTGTTTTTGTAACATTGCTTGCTTTTTTTGTCAAGCAGATAGAAAAGTGAATGCACTACCTCAAGTTCCAAATTGCAGAGAACATCAGTGGAGAAGTTCCCAGGGGCGTTCTAAATTGGATAATGTGAACTTGTCCCTTTTGGCAGGAAGAAAGCACATTATCTAAATGGTGAGAGACTGTATAGCTCTGAGCTGCAAAGAGATCTGGATATCCTCATACATAAATCACAAAGTTATTATGCAGGTACAGTAGTAATTAGGAAAGATAATAAAACATTATTGTTTATTGCAAGGGGAAGTGAATGCAAAAAGTTATGCTTAAGTTAGATGTGAGACTACATCTGGAGCACTGTGAAAGATTTTGATGATCTCATTTAAGGAAGGACATAAACACACTGGCAAAAATTGAGAGGAGGTTATCTAGAATAATCCCTGGAATAGGTAGGTTGTTTTATGAGAAAAGGTTGGTCAGGCTAGGCTGGTACCCACTGGAGCCTAGTACAGTAAGAGGTGATTTGACTGAAACATGTAAAATCCTGAGAAACATTGACTGGGCAGATGCGGAAAGGATGCTTCCTCTGATGAAGAATCTAGAACTAGGGTAAAATATAGTTGAAGATTGAAAAGAAAAAGGAAACTTTGATACTTACAAAAAAATCAACACTGCAGACAGTCTAGAGGAGTATAGAAAGTACAGGTATCAAGTTTAAAAAGAAGGAAATCAAAGAGGGGGCATGAAAAAATATTCGCAAGCAACATAAAGGAAAACCCAATGATTTATTACCAGCACATGAAGAGCAAAAGGATAGTTAAGGAAAAAGTAGGTCCTATCAGAGATGAAGAAGGGAATTTGTGTGAACATACTGAGGACGTGTGAAGAATTTTAAAAGAATTTTTCGTCTCCATATTCACAAAGCAGAGATGATGTGGACATAGTAATCCAAAAAGAGCCATGTGAAATATTAGACAAAATGATCATAACAATAGAGGAAGTGTTACAGGAGTTGAAATCCTTGAAAGTGGATATGTTGCCATGACTGGACGGATTGGTCCATAGGATTTGGAAAGTGGTCAAGGAGGAAATTGCAGATGCTCTGAGGATTATTTTCCAATCTTCACTAGACACTGTGCGGGGCCGGAGGACTGGAGGAATGCAAATGTGTTGCTGTTGTTTAAAAAGGGTACAAAGGAAATGACAAAATATTGAAGGCCAGTAAGTTTTGGTGAACAAATTGTTAGAATTAATCCTGAGAAATCGGATGAACTGTCATTTAGAAAGTCTAGACAGGGATAGTCAGCATGCCTCTGTTAAGGGAGGGCCATGCCTTACAAATTTGAATGAATTCTTTGAGGAAGTGACAAGGAGAGTCAACGAGGGTGGTGCAGTGGATGTTTTCTACATGGAGTTTGGTAAGGGATTTGACAAAGTCCCACGTGGCAGACTGGTCAAAAAAGTAAAAGCCCATGGGATACAGGGTAACGTGTTGAATTGGATCCTATGCTTGCTTAGTAACAGGAAACAAAAGGGAATGGTTGATGGTTGTGCTTACAAATGGAAGCTGTTTCAAGCACTGGTCAGCAGGGCTTGATACTGTTTGCTTCGTGCATTAACAATTTGGACTTGAACATGACAGGCACAATTGAGAAATTTGCAGATGACAAAAATTGGCCATGTAGTGGACAGCAAAGAGGGTAACTGTAAGCTCCAAAATGATTGAGATGGGTTGGTGCAGTGTGAAAATAGCAAATGTTGTTCAACCCTGATAAGGGTGAGGGAATGCATTTAGGGAGGTCAAACAGTAAAAGGGAATACACGTTAAAAGAGAATATACTGAGACAGGTGTGTGAAGCGAGAGGTCTTGGCGTGCAAGTGCACAGGTCGCAGAAGCTAGCAGTACAGGTAAGATAAGTTGTAAAGACAGTGTATGGAATGCTCACCTTCATTGGCAGAAGTATAGAATATAAAAGTAGAGATATAATGACAAAACAGTATAAGACACTGGCATGGCCACAACTGGAATAGTGTGCGCAGTTCTTGTCACCACATTACAAGGACTAATTGCTCTGGAGAGAATGCAGAGATGACTTACTAGAAAGTAACCAGGGCTCAAGATTGTAGCTACAAGGAGAGATTGGGATTGTTTTCCTCAAAACAGTGAAGGCTGAGGGGTGACATGATTGAGATATACAAAATTGTGAGGGGTGGAAATAGATGGGAGGAACCAGTTTCCCCCTTGATTCACAGAGTTCAAAAGCCAGATTCAAGCTGAGTGACAGAAGGATTAGAAAGGACTTATTGAGAAACCTTTCTTACACCAAAGGTGGTAGGTGTCTGGAATTCACTGCCTGAGTTGATGGAGGAGGCAGAGACTCTAAACGCTTTCAAAAAGTACGCTTTCAAAAGGATCAGCACCTTAAATGCTGTAAACTGCGGGGCTATGGGCCAGCTGCAGAAAGGTGGGATTAGAAAGGGAATATAGATATCTTTGTGTCGGCATGGACAAATGAGCCAAATGGTCCCCTCTGTGCTGTATTATTTCTATGGTTCTATCAGGGTCACTCTTTCAAATATCAAGGGTCACCCATTTAAACAGAAATGAAGTAATATATTTTCTCGCAGAGGGTCGCCAACCTTTGAAACACTATCCCTGAAAAGCAGAGTCCTTGAATATTTTCAAGGCAGAGGTAGACAGATTCTTGTTAAGCAAGGGATTGAAAGTTATCAAAGTTAGGCAGGAGTGTAGATTTGAGATTACAATCAGATCTTATTGAATGCGGAGCAGGCCTAAGTAGCTAAGTAACCTATTGCTGCTCTCAATTCATAAATACAAACCTTTCTATTATGGGGAAACAGGACAGTGTTCCCAGAATAGTGAATGAAGATTCATGATGTATTATTGTTTGATGTGGAGGAATGGTGTATAGCTTTAAGTTTGATTTATATTTCTATCATTAGTGTTATGAAGGGGAGGACATGATTTCAGATACATTTCAGTTCTGAGTGTGGCAGCAACTGTCATTCATACATTTTCATGAGATGGTTAAACCCTTGCAGTGAACAGTTCAGTGCATTAGAAAAATCAACAAAAAAACATTTCTGTGGTCAAGCAATGGAGTCCAGTAACAAAATCAGAACCATGCAGAAGGATGGATACTGTGCAGGTTCATTCAGAGAAAGATCTGTAATAGAAGTGCTGTTAATAGCAGACTTCAAAACAGTCAGGAATGGGAAAATAATCTCAAATCTCAATCTCAAAGAAGAAAATTCCAAAGCATAAATCAGTGGAAGATATGCTTATCAGGAACAAACATTAAATAATAAGTGAGATATGTCAGCATTTATTTAAGGGTTTCTGGAAGAAAAATTAATTAAAGAGAACAGCATCAAGGGAATGCATTAATTTGCTAACAAGAAACAGATTACAGCCATTCTGGCTAAACAAGAAATTTAACATGGAGAGCTTTACTGAGGTTGGAGTATCTGTAAGGGTTGTTGTTTAGGATAAGAGGCTGAATCTTTACTTCTGATATTTGTCATTAAACCATTTCAAACAGTTCTTACATGACATAACAGAGTTCCCTCACTTTTTCTTTTTATGTAAGAAACTTTTATGCTTCTTTGTTAAAAGTATATTGACAGCCTCATGAACATTCTCAGGGACTAAGGACTATAGAAAATAAATTGCTAAATAAAACAAGCGAGCTTTCACTCTGCCCCTATTATTACCATCAGATGGGATCATGATAATATAAGAACTCTTACTACGACAGTTGTAAAGCTCTAGAAAATTGTGGCACTGCACTGAAAAATTGTCAGTTTACCCGAATTCATGGACATTTTATTTTCTGTATGAAAACATACAGAGAACATAGATCAACATCAGGTGCTATCAAGATCCGCAGCAGGTTGAAAGAGGCTACACCCTCGCACCAACTCTGTTTAGCATATTTTTCTCCATTCTAGTGTATACTTTTGAGAACTCAAATGAGTGTGTCTATGTGCCAGAGCTAATGGCAAGCTTTTCAACTTGACACCACTGTGCACCACAACCAAAGTGCATAATGTCCTAAAGTTATTGCTTATTGATGACACTGCACTGGGATCCCAGAATAAAGTTCACTGGCAACAGCTTCCTGGTCAGTTACCCAAGTGTGCAAATAGTTCAGACCAACAATCAGCTTCAAGAAGATCAAAGTTTTAGGCAGGATGTACGGATTCTATGTTCCATCAAATTCCTCAATGCAAAAATGAACAGCTTCATATAATCTTGGAATAACAATTAACAGCTACGGATCGTTGATGCTGAAATCGGCATTAGATTGAAATGACAGCTGCAGCATTGGCGAAGTTGAGAAATCAAGTACAGACCAACAGTAAACTAAATGAAAATACAAAGCTCAGTATGCAGCAGGCATCTAAAAATAGTGGAAATAGATGCACAAGCGGCCTTTCAGCCCTGAGAGCCTGTTCCAGCACTCAATGAAATCACTGCAGAATTTCTACTTCAACACCATCTTCCTTCACTATTCACACATCCCCTGACATTTTCAACATGTAGAAATCTAATAATCTCAATTTTGAAACAGAAAAACTGAGCTTACACAGACTTCAGAGGCATAGAATTCTAAAGATTCACCACAATTTGAGGGAAAATATTTCTCCTTATTTAAGTCCCAAAAAGCCTACTTCTTATTCTAAGACAGTGTTCCCTGGTTCTAGAACGTCCCAGCCAAGTGAAACCTCATTCCTGCAATAATGAGCATCTATTAGCCAAGCAGAATACCAAATATGAAAATACAGCAGCATGCAGGCATCCCCAGCATTTTTGTTCTCTTCAGTTGGCAGTGACTCTGTTGGTTGGGTCATCTGAGCAGATGGATGATGGCCACATCACAAAAAACATGTTTTATGTCAAGCTTGCTACTGGAATGGGATTAATTGTTCTCACCTTCAAACCAAGAACTTTTTTAAGGAAGACCTGAAGTTTGCTCAGATCACAGTCGGCAGAATGGAAATCCTAGCTGCTGATCAAAGTTCTTGGAGAAAGTATTCAGGAAGGGCGCGGAACAAACAGAGGACAAAACAGCAAATTGGCAGGAAAGAGAGAAGGAAAAGACATCAGTAAATCTCAGGGCAATGCTTTGCATCTGTACCAGCTATGAATGCGATGGCCACTCATGAATCAACTTCTACAGCCACGACAGATGATGTCCAGTCCAGAAGTGACATACATTTGAGGGACAGTTCATCATCTCCCAGGATGGGAGATGTCATCAAGATGCTGATTGGTCCACATAAATGAACAGAGATGCAGTGGACAACATGGTGAGTCTGGGAGGGATGTTCTCCGGAGAGTCTGTGTAGAATCAACGGGCCAAATGGCATATTTCTGCAGTGTAGGAATTCTAATGATTCTAGCTTAAGCCTGGATATTGTCCAGGTTTCGCTGCATATCAACACTAAGGATTTGTGAATTGTATTGATCATTCTGCAATCATCACGAATATTCCCACTTCTGATCTTATTATGTAGGGAGGTTCAGCAATGAAACTGTTAACGATGGTTGAGCCTAAAACACTACCCTGAGGAACACTTGTGGAGGTGATTGACTTGCAATGACTATTATCGTCCTTGTGCTGAATATGATTCCAAAATAATTCCTATTGATTTCAATTTCATTAGGGCTCTCACCTTGAATTCCAATCCTTGTTCTTGCTTAGACCAAAGTTGTAATGAAGTCCGGAACTGATGGCCTTGATAATGAGCGTCAGTGAACAGGTTGTTGTTATGTTAGCGCCACTTGATAGCAAAGATAACTTCTATCATTTCACTGACCAAAGACCTTGCCTGTGTGCAGTGCCTTCACGTCATTTCTTATGAGCACAAGGTGAATCAAATTGGCTGAAGACTGGCAGTGTTACAGGATCAAACTGAGGTGGACATCCACTCAACAAACCTGGCTGATGATGGTTGCAAATACACCACTCATTCACGTGAATGAATTGAATATTGACATTTGTAGAGTCTTCGCCCAGTTAGTCGTTTAATTTTCCACCACCATTAAAAAAAAATCTGTAGGACTGGTTTGGCAGTAGTAGAATGGCCTGGCCTGACTAAGCCCATGAGCAACTAATATGCAGTTAAGGGATGGACTGGAAATTGACCTGGATGGATTTGTAAACATTTGTTGTCTTGAGGCTGAGGCCAGTTCTCCTATATGCTTCTGTGAAGGCAGTAAGCAAAGTTTGAAGACTCTGTTCAGAGAGAGTAGGCATGACATTGTCATCCACATATTGAAGTTTCACAAGTGCTTCACACCAGAACTTTCCAACACTTGGCTAGCAGTGTGAAGGGCACTACCTGTGAGATCTTTCACGTACGCCTGCTCAGTCTGCACTACTGCATGCTGCACTCGAAGCAGCTGCTGGGCTTTGAGACTGTCACACACCTCCTGCTGGAATGTATCTTTGCAATAGAAGTCTAGAGAGAGGATTGGTTTTTGTTGAGGTTTGTCCCAAGCAACTCTGTGACACAGGACTCTGTGCTGTATGGCATGTTTCCTGGGACGCACACCGAGACAAATGTCGAATGTGTCTTAAGGACCATCAACTCAGCAAAAAAACATTCTTTGGTCTGCCCAAAACTTGTTGGTCTTGCAGAACAAGGAGTTGACCCAGCACATTCCAAGTTCCAGGTTTACATGCTGAGGAACACACTGAATCTTGGGGCAGCTGCTGCCAAAGCACAGTCAGGAAAGACCACTGTCTGAGGTCTTCCTGCTGAAGTTAAATGGGGGTACGTTCAGTTATCAGACCCTCCTGGTGCCTCAAATGCATATAAATATAGTCTTAAATTTGTAAGAACTGCCTTTGGTTTGTTTAGATGGAGTCAAACTCCAATGTATGCTGGTTTCCTTGATATGCTAGTGTACAGAGCCAAACTGCATTTGTGACTATCTATACATTCAAAGATATTTTTTATGAATTAACGCACCCTCAGTGCCGACCCCCGAAAAGGTTTGTAGGCTCCTTCGGCACCGACGCCCCCCGACAGCGCAGCGCTCCCTCGGAACTATTCGGGATGTAATTGCCTGAAATCCGGGCTTGGCGTTGAGTTTCCATGGTTACGGCGCGGTACTCACCGGGTTCCCGAGCAGACGAGCTCGGTACTTACTGGGCAGCATCGCCCCTTCAACCTTTGCCGCTTCAGCCTTTCCTCCAGCCACTCACCCGCTGTCTTTTGCTCCTTTCCCCGATAGTTGCCTTTTCTCAACACGATTCCGCTCCCCCCGCTCCCTAACAACACCCGCTTCCGGTGCTGGAGGTGCCCGCGCTTTCCCTTCCCCCAACAGCCGAAACTGCCTCCGCCAAATCCTCTCCCCAACCCTCCTCTCCCCCTTCTTCCCTTTGTCTACCCAGCAAAGCCTGATACACGAAAAAAATGTAATGCCTGCAAAAGTGTATTATTGATGGTCTTGTGATTTGATCAATGTTAGTCATTTCTTATGCAAACTACAAAACAAAATTTCAATAGTAAGATGCCCCAATAGAATCCTATTCACGATCTCGATCTTTGTTCTCTCCGACTCTTCTTTCATATCAGAATTCAACATTGAGAGGTTTTGAAGTCAAACTTGATTTCACTGTTTGGTGACAGGGACAAACAAGGCAGCACAGAGCGGAAGAGTTCCTTATTTCCCTTCCAATTCCATTTTGATTATTTCGCACCAACTCTTCCCTCTGTCATTTTTAGTGTCATTGCACTGCCCCAATGGACTTTATATATAAATTAATAATTGATTCAGAAACACAGGTCATTTATAGAGTCATGGCATGATACAGCACACAAACAGCTCCTTCAGACCAACTCATTCGTGCTGACCAGATCTCATCTAACCGATCTAGTCCCATCTTCCAGCATATGGCCAATATCCCTCTAAACACTTCCTGTTCATGTACCCATCCAGATGCCTTTTAAATGCTGTAATTCTACTCGTCTCTACCACTTCCTCTGGCAGCTTGTTCCCCACATGCATCACTCTCTGCGTGAAAAAGTTGTCCCTCAGGTCCCTTTGAAATCTTTTCCCTCTCACCTTAAACCCATGCCCTCTGGTTTTGGTTTCCCCTACCCTGGGGAAAAGACCATGGCTATTCACCCTATCCATGCCCCTCATGATTTTATAAACCTCTATAAGATCACCCCTCAGCCTTCAATACTCTGGGGAAAAAAAGCCCCAGCCTATTCAGCCTCCCCATCCAATCCTGGCAACATCCTTGTAAATTTTTCCTATCCCTTTCACGTTTAACAACATTCTTCCAATAGCAACAAGACCAGAATGATGAGCTTGTCAGCTAAATATGGATAGATGGAGTGGAATAATAGGACTTTTCCGAAAATCTTGGTCATTAGGCAAAGGCCAAAGGTTATCATTCCATATTAATAGTTTCAACTAAGAAGTATCAGAGAAAATTTTATGTTCTGGCAACAAATATCCTTAATATAGTTTGGTTCCATGTTTGAAGATCTAGGATTCAGCATTCCCTTTCCCAAATTTTTCTGATTCTATTGAAATTTCCCTGTCACTGAAGTAAAAAAAGACTTGCAGACTCAGTACAAAATCAGGAATGGTAAATCAAGCATCTCAAGAGTCTCTCATGATGCTTGCTGATCACTTGTCCAGATCTTCAGTACAATAGAAGTTCCAATTGTTACATTGGGAAGCTAATGGTTATCATTGGACATTTTAGCTAGAACTCCAAAGTCTAGTGTCTGGTTGAGGTCAATCGCCAATATGATGCAAAGTTCAAAATGCCTTAGATAAATACAAAGGGGTTGAAACTGTGGTCCCTCTCTATACTGATGGATGTGTAACTGATCACATGATAGGATGCCCTATGCTTTGATGCCAATCCAAAAAATAATTTAAAGGTTATGCAATTGCTCTACATTAGCCTTGAATAATTCTTCCAATTCCCTACAACAAAACAATTTTCCATCATAGACCACATTAAGCATTTTACGGCTTTTGGAATTCTCTACCACCAGCAAGCAGAAGAGGCTAGGTCATTGAATATATTCAAGACTGAGTTAGAAATATCATTGATTGACTAAGGAATCAAGGATCATGGAGGACAGGTAAGAAAGTAAAGTGAAGGCCAATCAAGTCAGCCATGACTTTAGTGACCGGTGGAGCACTTTTGAGGAGCCAAATAGCCTACTCTTGCTCCTATTTCTTATGTTCTAATATTTCTTTACTCACAGTACAGAAAAGCAAAGCTATATTATGAATTTGAGCCAAGTCCCAAGAGCAACTACTAAGCTGGGTCTAAAAAGGAAAATACCTGGTCTGATACATTCACAGGTCTTATTTGTCAGACATGGTTTGCTTTTAATAAATCAATGCCGACTCCTGTTGTTCAGGCTTTTGTGAGACAAACCTTCTTGAATTGCACCCTTTTTATTCTCTGCAATATTATTCCCACAAGATTGTTGAGGGGAAAAAGACTGTAGTCTGGAAAAGCACTTCTAGTTCTAGAAAAATACAATGGGGTTGTTGAAGATCTTCTGGTGCAATGATCGTATCACTGCCTCTGGGCCAGGAAGCCTAGGTTCAAGTCTCGCTTGATCCAGAGGTCTGTTGTAATGTCTGACCAAGTTCATTTAAAAGTATCTACCAAAGTGGTATAAAAACAGTGTAGTGACTCATCCTCTCAGGTTGTGAATGGTCTTTGGCGTGTTTACAAAAATATCATAATGCCCACCCTGAGGAACACATGCAGCACTGCCCACAGGCTAAGATGATTAGGGAAACAGAATGTTGGCATTTATTGGAAGGGGAAATGGAGCATAACAATAGGGTGGGTCTCGCCACAGCTATACTTGACATTGGTGAGGCCAAATGTAAGTGCTATGTATGATTGGTTTACTTATTTAATGAGAGACATACTTATATAGGAAACAGTTCAAACAGATTTCACTAGGTTTATTCCAGGGATATGGGGTTTGTCTTATGAGTAACTCGGGCCTATACTTATTTCAGCTCAGAAGAATGAAAGGCAATCTGGCTCAATTATTTACACTTGGGGGGCCTTGACAGCAGTGATGCTGACAGGACGACCCCCCTCATGGGAAAGTCTACAATAAGTTAATAGTTTAAAACTGACCTATCTGCCATTAAGATGAAGAGGAGGAATTTCTTTTCTCAAAACAATAGAACACTTTGAAATGCTTATACACAAGCAGCAGTGGAGCCTGAGTAAGACATTTTGATCGACAAGGAAATCAAAAGTTATGAAGGTGCAGGAAATGCAGATTAACAAGAAGGTTAATGAATGGTGGAGCAGATTCAAAGGTCTGAATGGCCTATTTGTTTTTTTTGTCTTTAGTTCAATCAATCACGAGCTTTTTTCCAATTCGCAATATATTTATGCCAAGGCAACGACTCTCACTTGATTTCTGAAACTCAGCTCTTTTGGCAATGTTTAAAACCAGGCTGTAATGGAAATAGCTGGAAAAACTTAGCTGGTCTGGCAGAATCTGTGGAGGGAAAACAGAGTGAATGTTTCTGATTCAGTGACCCTTCCTCAGAACTGATTGTAGCTAGGAAAAGGTTGGATTGTATGCTGAAGACAGAGGTGGGTGGGGAAGAAGTAAATAATAGGTGGAGATGGAGATTTCCTTGTAGACTGCAAGGAACAACTTAGGTGAGGGAAAGGTCCTGCAGTTGGTTTATAAATCTCAACAGAGAATACAGTCACAGCGCTGAGCAGATCCATAATGTGGTTGACAAAATGGGATAGGGAACAAAGGAAAGAGATCATCTTAGGAGGAAGTCAACCTGAGTTAAGGGTGATCATTACCAAGGCTAACAATATCACCTTTTAGTAGTGATGGTCCTCGAGGAACACTGGTTGAGGGATAACTCATTACAAGCTCTGGTCTAATCCTGACTGACCATCTGATCACATTTTAAATGTTTGCATGACATTAATAATCTCCTAATAACATGTTTACTCACCATTGCCTTCTTTCACCCAACAGTATTGTTGCACTCAGAATAAAATAGCTGATTATTTCAGCATCTTAGCCACTTTTACAAATAACAAAGTTGGACAGGAAGTGAATCTAAAGTACTGTGGTTGGTTCGCTCGCCAAGCCGGTTCATTAGTTCGCTGACGTTTCATTACACTGCTGGGTAACATCATCAGTGCAGCCTCTGATGAAGCGCTGTTGTGTTTTCCCGCCTGGTATTTAAACTCGGGTCCGTTGGAATTGGTTACCTCATTTCCGGTTTTTCTTCGCAGTTTTGTATATATAGGGTCTAATTCTACGTGTTTATGGATGGCCTTTTTGGTGGAGAACCAAGCCTCTAGAAATTCCCATGCTTGTCTCTGTTTGGTCTGTCCTAGGATCCTGATGTTGTCCCAATCGAACTGGTGGTTCTCCTTATCCATGTGAATGGAGACAAGTGAGTACCGGTCATGTCTTTTTGTTGCTTTTGTTTTGTGGCACTCGTCTCCACCAGGTGGGAAAACACAACAGCGCTTCATCAGAGGTTGCACTGATGATGTTACACAGCAGGGTAATGAAACGTCTCCGAACTAATGAACCGGCTTGGCGAGCGAACCAACCACAGCATCCACAACCCAAGCTACAAATCTACTCAAGAACCTTAAATCCAAAGTACATTTACAGGACCTTAGCTATCAGACTCTCAGCTCTGGGATCTGGGATCCAGTTCAGCTCAGACAGATGGGACTGAAGTCTTCCTGTCTGGAAATGTTCTGTGAAAGAAGAGCCAATCAAGTACAATAATGAGCTGAACCAGATATAAAACATAATGAGGCAGCTCTGCAGCTTCACAGGGGCACTCACTTGAGGAATTCACTCACAGTGAACGAAGCTGATTCCGTAATAACACTCGAACTCTGAAACCAGAGAGGGCAAGACCAGCACAATTTCCAAGTGAGACACTGATTCTGATGGGTCAGATATTTCAAATGTTATCATTTCCCAGGATAGTCCTCAGGCAGAATAGTCACCATGTGTTCCAGCAATCCTAGCACAGCATGATGAATGATAGCTGGGTGGCTTCCATTTGTTCTATCTTTACTATAGAAAACATGAAAATGAACTAGGGAAAGTATTACAAAAAACAAAGGCTTTCCCCAGCACCAAACACGTCCCTGATCCATACAAACGACCGACCAAGTAGCACCCATACTGTGATTCATCCACCAGTCTGAAGATACATCTCTTACAGGGATACAGATCGATAACAGCTATCCTACCCAGAACCTTGTCCAACTCACCATGAGTTACAGAAAATTTCAGCTAGCTATTTAATAGATGTTGAACTTCACTAATTAACACTCTCTCTGGCTAGACATTGAAGCCACCCCTCTGATCATCTCAACACCCTCCCTGGCCTTCACTCTTTGACCATCTCCATACAATGGACCTCATTCCATGATGGTCTCTCTTTCTCCCTGGTCACTGACCTTTCCTCCCTGCCAAACATCCCCGCCCCCCACTTTCACTCTCCATCCAGACAATGACACTCTTTCTTTTGCTTTCTCTCTCTCTGAACACTGACCTCTCTCTCTCTGCAAACTGACCTGTCTCTCTCCCTCTTCAGATACTAATACTGTCCCTCTCTCTCTCTATCTCATCAGTCACCATGGCTCCCTCTCCCTCTCTCTCTGGACACTGACCTTCTCTTGCCCTCTCTGGACACTGACCTCCTGCATCTCTGGACACTGACCTTCTCTCTCTCTCTCTGTGCACACTGACCCTCTCTCTCTGAACACTGAACCCCTCTCTCTGTCTCTCTGGACATTGACCTTCTCCGTCCCTCCCTGGACACTGACCTGCCATCTTTCTCTCTCGCTGGACAGTGACTCTCTCTCTCTCTAGACACTGACCTTTTTCTCTCTCTCTCTGGACACTGATGCTGTCTGTCTCTCTCCCTCTCTGGGCACTGACCGTCGCTATTTCTGTCTCTCTCCCATTCAAATCAGTGACCATGGCTCTCTCTCTCTCTCTAGACACTAACCCTCCACCTCTCTCTCTCTCTCTGTCTGGACAATGACCTTCTCTCTCTCTCTGGACACTGACCTTCTGTCTCTCACTGGACAATGACTGTATCTCTCTCACTCTCTCTCCCTCTGGACACTGACCTCTCTCTCCCTCTCTCTCTCTCATACCTTCCCTCTCCAGAGACTGACCTTCCCTGCCTCTCTCACTCCCTCTGGACACTGACCTTCTCTCTCCCTCTCTGGACACTGACCATCTCTATCTCTCTCTCTCTCTCTCCCATTCACATCAGTGGCCATGGCGCTCTCTCCCTCTC